TAGAGCTTGGGAGGGCTGGCAGGGATGGTATATGGTGTCTCTGTGTTGTGGTGAATTCCTGCGTCCACTCATCCTTGCTCCCTCACTGCAGCTACATGTTTGGTCAGCTCTCTCTGACCTCCCTTCTACCTTCACATCTGGAGATGGCTGCTGAGATGACAGGAACAATGGAGGCAGTTAACTGGAGCACTGGGATCTTGACCATAGGTTATGGAAGCTGGGCTTGAGGATCACAGCAATGTCTGGCTCAGCTACATAGGGGTTTCAGATTCCTTCACATCGGCACCAAATAAGCGAGAGCAAAGGGGTGGCTCCATAGACACATCTCCCTAACCCACAACCAAAGAGGTCTAGATGTGTATATGTCTATAAATGCCTTAGGGTTTTCTGAAAGTCTTGGGTGTGGAGAAAGCGAAATATGGTCTCCACTTCCCACTGAAGACACTTGTGTGAATAGGGAAAAGCTGATGATTACCAGGGAGACCCTGGCTACACAGGTATGCCCTCCATCACCATTGCTTGGGTATTGGTTATTACTCTTTGCCCAGCCAGGGATCATGGGCCCTTGAACATTACTTGTGCAGCTTCTTTATTCTCCAAGATTGCTACCGGCTTTGAACTGACTGACTGGACAGATACTCAACTAGTTGCCCAACGTTGTTATGTTGTGAAGGAAGAAAACCACTATTTTTGCTGTTAGACACACCTGGGATCAAATCCCAGTACCACCAATTAATATCTATGTGATCTGAAGTAAGTCATTTAACCTTGTAGACCTTCAGTTTCCTCATATCTAAAATGAGGATAACACTAGGTCCGTCAAGGCTGTTGTGAGGAATAAATGAGAAACTCGTTGTAAAAGCAAAGGGACTTGCCCTCCTCCATTGCCTAATTCTTTCTCCAGCCAGTACCCTAAAGCTTTCAGGGCTTTGAAAATATAAGGTAATACTATCATTCATAGCCCTTCTTTCCCACTAATTAAGTTTCCATGACCCCTTCTCCTTTAGAATCATGCAGGCCTTGGTCTGTAAATGACCTTCTGGGTCTTACATGTATCTGAGGCACATTCATTAATGTCTTGATGCCATGATTATTTTACATCCTTTACACTTCTGGGCCCCTTCCCAGGGTTTCTGAATGCAGTTGCGATGGCCCCATCCAGGGGTGCCTCTAACATTTCAATCAGAAATTTTTGTATTTATTACAATTTTCTGGCAGATGGCCATAAAGTATCTTCAGCAAGGGGTGCTTTATCTAATTTACACAAGGGCTCCATATCCCCAGTTTGCTTCAGACATTGGCCACACCCTTTAAAATTTCTTTTTCTTTATTGATTTTAGAGAGAGAGAGGGAGAGGGAAAGAGATAGAAACATTGATAAGAAAGGACATTGATTGACCACCTTCTGCATGTCCCCCACTGGGGATCAGGCCCAAACCCAGGCATGTGCCCTGACCAGGAATCAAACTGGCAACCTCTTAGCGCATGGGTCAATGCTCAACCAGTGAGCCACACCACACACCCTTATTTATTCCCCCCTTTTCCCATCTCCAGCAACACAGCACAAACAATGAAAAGTTGTTTGTTTTTCCCCAAATACCAGTTCAACACTGGGTCTTACATGTTAAAGAAGTTTTCAATAATGAAAATATGCCATGTTTGTGCAGGCTCAGGACTCCCACAGGTTTCCATTTCTATCTCAGCATTTACCACTTATGTTCTATGTGACTTGGGGCAGTGAGTCTCCTGGATCTTAGTCTCTTTATCTATAAAATGGGATTAAAATGAGGTGGTTGAAAAGCTCAAATGAGACAATGTACAGGAGTGGGCAAAGTAAGTTTATAGTTGTGAGTATGCAAACCACAATTTATTCTTGTATTATTTATTAATTATTGTACTATTTATTTGTGTTACAACTGTCAACCTACTTTTGCCCACCCCTGAATATAAAATGTAGATAATGTGCCTGCCAGGTGGCCTTACCTTAACTCTTATGCCAGATCTCCTGGGAAGGCTCTCCTATTTCATGCTTGGCACGTGACAGATGTCTGTTTCCTTCCCTTGGTCCCAGAGGACCCTCAACTCCATTGTGGGCCTTGTTTCAGTTCTTAAGGCCTTGAATTCTAGAAACACAAATGATGCAAATATGCTGGATTGCATTCTCATGACCTGTCCACTTGTGGTCAGAGCTGAGTCCCTTTTCCCCTTTGTCACTTTGCAAACAGCCTGTCTACTTGGCTGCCAATGCTTCTTTCTCAGAACTCTTCAAATTTATTTAAAGGATCTTTAGACCCATTCCCTTGCACATTTTGTGATGTCTTATTCACTTCAGGGAAAATAATGTGATTTCTTGCTGGCTATAAATACAACCTGGACAGTCAAGAACCCAGGATTAATTCCCAATTAAGTATAAAATGAGCCAGCAACAGGATAGTGCTTCTTTCCTATCTTCCCACCAGGACCACCTGCTCTCTCACTGAGTGCCTTTGAAGAAACACAGTAAGCATCATCGCAACGAGAGTAGGAGGGAGAGGAAGGCAATGTGGGAAACATAGCTGCTCCTTGGAAGAGCATAAGGGCTGCTCACAAGGGTGAAGGTACCCAAGCCACATCACTGAGAGCTGAATTATCATAGGAACGAGTCCCTGTCAGACCTCAAGAAATAGGAATCCTCCAGACACGACTTGGCAACTGCACAGGGCAGAGTACTGGGCCTGGAATGAAACTTGCATGAAAGAAGAAAAATAAGGGGTAAACTGAGCCAGGTTTGGGGCCAGCTTAGATAGAAATACTGCTCTGGAGAGGGCATTCCTGGGGACCAACCTATCGTGACCCCAACCACCTGGACTGACCGTCTCCTGTCTTCCAGCCTCTGAGAAAAGGTTGGGCACCTTCACTTTGCACTCCATTGGCCCCAGAAAACTCAGCTGGATTGACTTGTGTTATCAGAATACCAGGACCCTGTGGGCAAGCTTAAAGGATCAAAGGTAAAAGGGACTTTGAAATCAACTTGGCCATGATCTCTCTTCTGAATTCTCCCAGTCTGGTAGAAACCACAGGGTATTCGTTAAGGGAATGGTCTGGGTTTGAATCCGGATTTCACCATTTCCAAGCTGTGGGAACTTGAGCAAATGATGTTAACTATTCTGTGCCTCAGTTTTCTCAGCAGTAAAATGAGGCTAATACCAGTACTTACATCTCATCTCGGGCCTTTGGAGAAACTGCGTCTGCCCCTCTCCTACTAGATAGAATGAGACTAGTAAAGGGACTGGTAACCAGCATCAAGGAATCATCTAAAATACATTCAGCTTCCAAAGAGCCTGCCCCCTGTATTCCAGCTACCATTTTCTTTCATGTGTTGCCAAATTGTGTCTGTTGTATATTTCAGACGGGAGAAGTTGGACAACACCTGGGCTTCTAACTGTCCCCATAGAGTCTACCCCAGGATTAAGCACATTTCTTTATGCTGAGAGGCAGAGTTTCTGTAGGTAGCTGCTTCACACCTGTTGTAAGCAGCATTATGGCCTCCAAGAAGATCCCATGCCCTAATCTCCAGGACTGTAATTACATGGCGGAGATGTTGAAGATGTGATTTAGATTACTGACTTTAAAATAAGGACATTGTCCTGGATTATCTGTGCGAGCCCAATAAAATTACCCCAATGAAAGGCGAGCCCTTAACATCAGAGGCAAAAAAGGAAGTCAGAGGAAGGGGAAGTAAAAGGATTTGATGTGCCATTCATTGTTACCTTGAAGACGGCGGGGGCCACATGTCAAAAATGGGGACCTCGGTCCTACAACAACAAGGAACTAAATTCTGCCAACAACCAGTGAATTCAGAAGAGGATCCTGAGCCCCAAATGACAACCCCATCCCGGCTGATACCTTGATTTTAGTTCAGTGAAACCTTAAGAAGAAAATCCAGCCACAGTATGCAGAATTTCTGACCTACAAAAACTGTGAGAAAATAAATGGATGTTATTTTAAGCTGTTAAATTTGTAGTCATTTGTTACAACAGCAATAGAAAACTAAACCAATGGTCTTGGGTCTTAATTTGTACATCTGTCAAATGGGGGCAAAATACCTGGTCTTATCTACTTTATGGGACTCTTATAAGGACAAAATAATGGATAAAAGAGTTCTCTGCAGCATCTCAAGTCATAAAACTGTTAGGATATACTTCAACAGGGGAAAAACATCAATCTGTTTTGAAGCAAATGGGTTGAGGCAATTAAGAGCTTAGCATTCCTGACATTTCCCAGAAGTGCTGAGGTTTTGGAGGACTGTGTTTCCTCTCCTGGAGAAGCATTGCAGCATAAGTAAAAACAGAAAACCTAGGTCCCAATCTATTTCCCATCTGTGTAACCTTGGGCAGATTATGTCACCTCTCTGAGCCTCAAAAAAATGAGAGAAAACTCCTGCTCGTCCCCCATCTGCCACTCATCTCTCTAGGTGATGCTCATGTCCATTAGGTAGACAACTGGCTATAAATGAACCCTTTAAAATGGGGAAACAGGCTCAGAGGAGAGGAGAAGGGACTTGTCTAAGGCCAAACACTAGAGCTTTGCCCAGATCAGAGGTGGGGAACGTCTGGGCCGCGGGCCACATAAGGCCTGTGAAATCAATACCAGCTAACATCACACGCCTCACCAAAGAGAAGCAGTTCCAGCCATCGCTTTAGGGGGGAGTTAATTCAATGTTTGACCAAATATAGCAGGCTAATTTTTTTCTTCATTAATTTTAGAGAGAAGGGAGAACATCGATTGGTCGCCTCCTGCATGCCCCCCACTGGGGATTTGGCCCACAACCTGGGCACGTGCCCTGAGTGGAAATCTAAACAGTGACCTCCTGGTGCAGGGTCAATGCTCAACCACTGAGCCACACCGGCTGGGTTAGCAGGCTAATTTTTAAGTTGATAATTTTGTATGGCCCGGAAATGATGTTATAAATATCCAAATGGCCCTTGGCAGAAAAAAGGTTCCCCACCCCTGGCCCCTAGATGATATACGGCTTTTGTGGCTCAGCTGAAGCAATGAGTGTGCACATGTGATAGAAACAAAGAAGCGCCCAGATGAAAGGCCTATTCATCCTCCCCAGTGTGTGGTTTGCTACTGGAAGCAGATATCTCAATCCTGGTAAACTAGTCGCCCAAAGAAAGTAGAGTTGAAGGACCCTTGGGGCTGATACTCTGAGCACCTGTTTTGTGTCATTGGCATCTGTCTGGGAACACAAGCAATGACAACTGCTCTAGCAGCTCCCCTTTAACAAACAGGGATTAGAAGTGTCTACTCCTCAGATTTCTCACTAACAATTGTGTTTTAGTTCCTTTCCAATGGTTTAGATGGCAAATGAGGAAGACTAGGAGATTTTTCTGGGAGTTTTTCATCTGGTGGCAAATATGTGGGCAATCAAGAAAGAGGGTAAAAGCCAAACCCCCAAAAGGATGACCACTAAAGGCACCCATCATAATACCCCTTGCTAGGTAAGTGTTGTGTAATGGAAAGAACCTTGAGTAGGAGACCAAGGACCTAGGATCTTCCTTAAGCATGGCTGCTAATGTGCTCTGCCTCAGTTTCCCCAGTGGTAAACTAGGCAGATAGACTCAATGATTTTGCAAGGCCCTACAAATCAAATGCTATATGGGTTGTAAAAAGTCTTTTATCTCAAGGCTGTGAAACTTTATTGGGTCGCAGGCCCATTTGAAATTCAGCAGAATGTTGTGGACATTTCTCCAGAAATGACACATTGTCATGGAATTCTGAACACCATTTCAGAGGCTTCGTGAACTTCCTGAATCCACGGGCACAGGGTTCAAAACTGCTTCTTTCAGGAGATAAAAGAGATTAACTGCAGAAAGCAAACATGATGCAATGTGACAGCCGCCTGGCCTCAATCCATCTTAACATTTTTCCCCAGCGTTTGACCCCAAAATGGAACTCTTGCAGGACACCATCTCTCTTCTTTAAAGAACTGTTTCCAGCTTTTCTTCTTTCTTTCTTTCTTTCTTTCTTTCTTTCTTTCTTTCTTTCTTTCTTTCTTGATTGCTTGCAAAAGAAGCTGTCAGGACAAAACAGGCAGAAGAATAATTCAAACAGACCTAGGCTTTGACATGCAAAACGTGCTTTGCAGATTTGTCTTAAGCGGTTGTAGGCAAGAGCAGGAAGGCCACCTTCCTGAGTCCACATGGAGGGTTTGTGGGGGGCATCACCCACGCTGTCTGGCCCCACAGGAGCAGACAGATTCTTGGCAATATATTACAGTGCCAGAGCTCCAACCTGGCACCAGGGTCCATATCATCAGAAAGAGATGTGTTATGATTCTCCAATGTTTAGCGAATGTTCCTAGTCCCCTGCTTCCAAGGTAAGCAATGGCCCCAACCCCGGTAGATTTTAGTTCAGGGTTAGACCTTTGAGATCAGTGGTTAGCCCAAAATCTTTCAGAGTTCGATGTCCTTTTGAGGAGGCAGGAAATTCAGGGAACAGTTGAGAACTGAGCTCCCCTCTTCAGCTCAGGTCAGTGGATAGCTTGGTTTCTGCAGAGTCTGGCTTGAAGGAGTTCAGACATTCACAGTCTTACAGGAGCTCAAGATATACCTTCTGAGGGGATAAAGGCAGAATACAAAGGAGAAATAAACCTGTTCTAGGACATGTGCCCCCCTACTTATAGCATCTCAGAGCCTGAAGGTGCAGGGCCAGGAAGGAGCTGCTCTTCAGCACAAAATGACTCAGCACACAGGGTGTGGAGAAAACCCTTCCAGAATCTGGAAAGGGTCTTCTGAAGCCAAGGCTTTTAAAACCTGAAAGAGAAAGAAGAGGAGGGAATTAGCTAGGGCTGGTCAAGCACTTAACAGCCACTGAACAGTGGGGCCTCTCTTGGTAGGTGGCTAAACATACAAACTGGTAGCTAATCTTTTGATTAATAGGGGCTGGCTAGGAAAATACCCTTGTAACTCTGAGCCCATGAAACAGGCCTAAGACCGTGCTATACTCAGGAATAGAAACTGTATGCCTTTAGCCTCAATGCTAATCCCCAAAAAGTCTACAGGGGATGCAGAAGCCTGATACCTCTGAGATTATTGCTAGTTATAAGGTTCCGACCTTTCATTCTACAGATTGGGAAACTAAGGCTCAGAGAATGAAATGTAATTGCCCCAAATGTCACAGCCTAGGATTCCTAATAAACTTGATTCAAAGGCAATTTGTAAAACTACTCCGTAGTTTGGCTGGAGGAGAAAGGAAAGAAGAAAGAGACTTAAAAACACAGAGAATGTCAGAATTAGAAGGCAGTAAGTTTAAGGGTCATGTAATTATAGGGTAATGAACTGAGGCATGGAGATAAGTTTCTACCCTCTGAACTGACATGGTATTCCAATCCTCAGAAACTCAGATCCCATAAAGAAGGCTCACGTGAAGAAGGTTCTGTAATCAGGGGTGGGATAGTACATACCTGAAGCCTCAACTCTCCTCTCCAGGAAGTCTGCCTTGAGAACTGTGGGTAAAGGACAGAAGACATGTCACTAAGACTTTAGAAATTAGAACCGGAAAGGCAAAGCTAGGGTAAGGGTGGCCTTTACATGTTAGTGTCAATATGGTCATTTTTTAAAATGGAGAAGTGATTCAATCCTGATTTTTCAAAGCATTTAGCTCCATGCTTATAGGTTGAGCTACCTCTCTGGCAGATTTAGAGAGCCAGACAAAAACATCTTTTGGATGCCAGACCTTGTGAACCAGACTACAGAAGGCTAGGAAAGCCACGAGAAATTGGCCCAAGACCAAATACTACATTCTGTAATTATCTCTAATAGGGAGAAAGGCAAGGAGGGAGGACAAATCCGCTTTTGACTTGAGGACCAAGCAGCCTTCCCTGGCCTCTTGATGTGCTTAGATCAATCCTAAATTAGCCTTGTCTAAAGACAGCTGGAGGGAGGACAAGGAAAATGGTGGCGGGGTGAATGGAAGCTACACAGACCATCTCCCAGGACCAAACTGGAATTACAATGAAAATAAAGACAAATCACCAGAAAAAGGCAACCGAAAAGCAGCTTGGAGGACCACATAACCAGGGACACTGACTCAATCGTGGTAGGCTTGTGAAGATGCGAGAGGGGGCCAGGAGCCCACAGTCCGCAGCAGTGTGGGCTGGGACCTGCGGCCTCGGCTGGGACCTGCAACCTCCACTGGAAGCTGCGCCCTTGGCTAGGTCCTACGCCCTCAGCTGGGAGATGCTGCAGCCTCGGCCAGAGTGACTGCCTTAGCTGGGAGCGGTGCCCTTAGATTAAAGTCCCAAGCGGCTCCACAGTGCAGAGCCGGGACAGATGCTAAATTAGCAGCAGCCACTCACCTTGGGCCCTGGCAGAGGGAGGGCAGACTCGACTGGAACTGTGTGGGGACACTCGGGATTTGGAGGGTGCTCAGAGCTTTTGCTGAGTTGCAGCCACACAGGACTGTGGTCATCTTACTCCTTCCCAGGTCCCTGGGGGGAGGTGGCCGCCCCTCCCTCGAAGATTCAACCCCACCTGATGGCCATTGAAATGCTAATAGAGGCCCATTAACAACAAACATCTGCCTCACTCTCAGGAAATCCTCTTACACTGAGCACCTGAGGAAGTTTTTCATTCAACGCAGAAACCAAGGTTCTTCAGGTGACCTCTACTAATAGCCTCCAGGCAAAAAGCTAGAGGATAACTACCATTCTCTGGGCTAGCAACTCTAAGCAGGAAAGTAAGACTTGACAGTGGTGTTTAAAGTGGGTCTTCCCTGCCTCATCCAAACCCAGGAGAGGGAGCCACAAATAGCAGAACACCAACACCCACAGAAAAAATTTGGCAGGCTCCACAGCCCACTGTGATAGCCAAAATGGTGAAACACAGAAACAAAAGCCAAATGAAAGAACAAGAGACCTCTACCAAAGATGAGATAAATGAGGTGCAGTTAAGCAACTTAAGAGAACTACAATTCAGAGCCATGATCTTGAGGAAACTCAACAGCATGTGTAAGGACATGAGCACCATGAGTAAAGACAGAGAAATGTTGAAAATCAACCAGTTGGAAACTAAAAACCACCAAGTAGAAATGAAGAATGACATATCAGAAATAAAGAACACATTGGAAAGTCTAAATAGCAGAGTAGAAGTAGCTGAGGACTGGATCAGTGAATTAGAGGATAGGGTAGAAAAAATGAACCAATCAGAAAACCAAAAGGAAAAAATAATTAAAAAACAGGAAAACAGCTTAAGAGAACTGTGGGACAACAGGAAACGTAGTAACATTCACATCATAGGAGTCCCTGAAGAAGAAGGAAATGAGCAAGGGTTAGAGAATATTGGAAGAAATGGTGACAGAAAACTTTCCTAATTTGGTGAAGGAAGAAGGCATTCAAGTTCAAGAAGCACAAAGAGCCCCAAGTAAGAAGAACCCAAACAGGCCCGCAGCAAGACACATAGTAATCAAAGTGCCAAAAATTAAAGACAGAGAGAGAATCCTAAAAGAAGCAAGAGAGAAGCAACAGGTTACCTACAAAGGAAACCCCACAAGGCTCTCAGCTGACTTCTCAACAGAAACACTACAGACCAGAAGGGAATGGCATGAGATAATCAAGGTCATGAAAAACAAGGATCTGAATCCAAGACTACTCTACTCAGCAAGGCTATCATTTAAAATAGAAGGTCAAATAAAGAGATTCCCGGACAAAAAAAGGCAAAGAGAATAAATTAGCACCAGCACTGCAAGAAGTGTTAAAAGGACTGCTGTAATTAGCAGGAGAAATGGGAAGAAAAATAGAACCACACTAAACAAAAATGGCAATAAATAAGTACATATCAATAATCACCTTAAATATAACTGGATTGAATGCTCCCATAAAAAGACACAGAGTAGCAGATTGTATAAGAAAGCATGACTCATCTATATGTTGTGTATATGAGACCCACCTCACAATAAAAGACTCACATAGGTTGAAAGTGAAGGCATGGAAAAAATATTCCAAGCAAACAAAAATAAAAAAAAGCTGGGGTAGCAATACTCATATCTGATAAAATAGATTTCAAAATGAAGGCCATAACTAGAGACAAAGAAGGCCACTATATAATATTGAAAGAATCCATCCAACAGGAAGATATAACCTTGATAAACATATATGCACCCAATATAGGCGCACCAACATATATCAAAAATCTTCTGGAGGACTTCAAAGGAGAAATTGATAGGAATACAATCATAGCAGGGGACTTCGACACCCTGCTGACGTCACCAGATAGATCCTCTAGACAAAAAATTAGCAAGAAAACATAGACTCTAAGTGTAGCACTAGACCAAATGGATTTAATAGATATCTACAGAGAATTACACCCCAAAACTACAGAATTCACATTCTTCTCAAGTGCATGTGGGACATTCTCAAAGACAGACCACATGTTAGGACACAAACTAAGTCTCTACAAATTCAAGAAGATTGAAATCATATCAAGCATCTTCTCAGATCACAATGGCATACAACTAGAAATCAATTGCAACAAGAACATCCAAAGACATTTGAACACATGAAAGGTAAATGGCATGTTATTAAACAATGAATGGATTACCGAGGAGATCAAGGAAAAAATTAAAACCTGTTGGAATCCAATGAAAATGAACACACAACAACACAAAATCTATGGGATGCAGCGAAAGCAGTTCTGAGATGGAAGTTCATAGCACTACAGGCCTACCACAAAAAAAAAAAAAACAAGAAAAATCTCTAATAAGCTATGTACCCTCACAACTTAAAGAACTAGAGAGCAAACAAAAAGAAAACCCCAGAGCAAGGAGAAGGAAGGAAATAGTAAAGATCAGAGCAGAAATAAACGACATAGAGTCCAAAAAAACAATTCAAAGGATCAATGAAACAAAGAGCTGGTTTCTCGAAAAGATAAACAAGATTGATGGACCCTTAGCTAGACTCACCAAGAAACAAAGAGAGAGAACCCAAATACACAAAATCAGAAATAAAAGAGAAGAAGTAACAGCTGACACAACAGAAATACAAAAGATTGTTAACAACTACAGTGATACCTCGGTTCTCGAACATAATTCGTTCCAGGAGGACAGTCGAGAACCGAAATGAAACCCAATAGGAAAGCGTGACTCCACAAAGCGTGACTCTCTCTCTGCACTCACACTGATGACGCAAGCAAGGCGCACTGGGCCGAATGAACGCCATTCGGCTCAACTCGGCTCATCTCGGAAGTTCGAGTTCCAAATATTTGTTCGGATTCCGAGACAAAAGTTTCTCGAATCTCCTGGTCGAATACCGATTTGGTCGAAAACCGAGGCGTTCGAGAACCGAGGTATCACTGTACTATGAAAAATTATATGGCAATAAGTTTGACAATCTAAGCAAGATGGACAAATTTCTAGAAACATATACTCTCCCAAAACTGGACCAGGAAGAAATAGAAAATTTGAACAGATCAATAACAACAGAAGAAATTGAAGACGTAATCAAGAGTCTCCCAGCACACAAAAGCCCAGGCCCAGATGGCTTCACGGGGGAGTTTTACCGAACATTCAAAGAAGAACTAACACCCAGTCTCTTCAAACTATTTCAGAAAATTCAAGAAGAAGGTAGACTTCCAAACTCGTTTTACGAAGCTGCATAATTCTAATTCCAAAACCAGAAAAAGACACTACAAAGAAAGAAAACTACAGGCCAATATCCCTGATGAACATAGATGCCAAAATCCTGAACAAAATACTAGCAAATCGGATCCAGCAATACACCAAAAATTTATTCACCATGTCCAAGTGGGATTCATCCCAGGGATGCAAGGCTGGTAAAATATCCGCAAATCAATAAATGTGATACACCACATAAATAAAATGAAGAATAAAAACCACATGATCATATCAATAGATGCCGAAAAAGCCTTCGACAAATCCAGCATCCATTTCTGATAAAAACATTCAGCAATGTGAGAATAGAGGGATCATATCTTGACATAATAAACGCCATATATGAAAGACCTACAGCCAACATCATACTCAATGGGCAAAAACTAAAAGCATTTCCCTTAAGAACGGGAACAAGGCAAGGATGCCCACTTTCGCCACTCTTATTTATCATTGTACTGGAAGGGTTAGCCACAGCAATCAGACAGGAAGAAAAAATAAAAGGCATCCAAATGGGAATGGAGGAAGTGAAACTATCATTATTTGCAGATGAAATCAAAAATTTACTAGACTTAATAAATGAATTTGGAAAAGTAGCAGAATACAAAATTAACGTCAAGAAATCGATGGCATTCTTATACACTTTTGATAAACTCACAGAAAGAGAAACTAAGAAAACAATCCCATTTACCATTGCGGCAAAAAAATTAAGATACCTAGGAATAAACTTAACCAAAGAAATAAAGAACCTATTCGCAGAAAACTACAGGTCATTGAAAAAAAGAAATAGAGGAAGATATAAAAAAATGGAAGCACATACCCTGTTCATGGATTGGAAGAATTAACATCATTAAAATGTCCATACTTCCCAAAGCAATCTATAGATTCAATGCAATTCCCATCAAAATACCAACAGCATACTTCACAGAATTAGAACAAGTACTTCAAAAGTTCATATGGAACCAAAAAAAGACCTCGAACAGCCACAGCAATTTTGAAAAAAAAGAACAAAGTTGGAGGGATCACATTACCAGATTTCAGGTTATACTACAAAGCCACTGTAATCAAAAGAGCCTAATACTGGCACAAGAACAGGCATATAGTCCAGTGGAAGAGAAGAGAGAACCCAGAAATGGACCCAAGGCAATATGCCACGAACGTGGCAAGAGCATACAGTGGAGTAAGGACTGCCTCTTTAATAAATGGTGTTGGAAAACTGGACAGTTACAAGCAGAAAAATGAAACTAGACCATAAACTTGCACCCTACACAAGAATAAACTCAAAATGGATAAAAGACTTAAATGTGACTCATGAATCCATAAAACTCCTAAAAGAAACTGTAGGCAACAAAATTTCAGACATCATATGCAGCAGAATTTTCACTGATACATCACCTAAGCCAATAAAAACAAAGGAGAAAATGAACACATGAGACTACATCAAACTCAAAAGGTTCTGCACAGCGAAAGGTACAATCATCAAACGGAAAGGCTACCCACTCTATGGGAGAGCATAATTGCCAATGATATATCAGATAAGGGGTTAATTTCCAATATATATAGAGTGCTCATACAACTCCACAAAAGGAAGACAAAGAATCTGATTAAAAAATGGGCAGAGAAACTAAATAGACACCTCTCCAAACAGGACATACAAATGGTTAAGAGACATATGAAGAAATGCTCAACATCACTAATCATCAGAGAGATGCAAATTAAAACAACAATGAGGTATCACCTCACGCCTGTCAGAATGGCCGCCATCAACAAATCATCAAACAACAATTGTTGGGGAGGGTGTGGAGAAAAGGGGACTCTAGTACACTGCTGGTGGGAATGCAGACCGGAGCAGCCATTATGGAAAACAGTATGGTGTTCCCTCAAAAAATTAAAAATGGAACTGCCATTTGACCCAGTGATCCCACTTCTAGGAATATACCCTAAGAAGCCTGAAACACCAATCACAAAGAATATATGCACCCCATGTTTGTAGGAGCACTATTTACAATAGCTAAGATCTGGAAACAGCCCAAGTGTCCATCAGTAGACAAATGGATAAAAAAGCAGTGGTACATATACACTATAGAGTACTATGCAGCTATAAGAAAGAAAGATCTCTTATCCTTTGAGACGATATGGAGGAACCTGGAAAGTGTCATGCTAAGCGAAACAACCCAAACAGAGAAAGACAAGTATCATATGATCTCACGTATTTGTGGAATATAATGAACATAACAGTCTGAGGAATGGGGTAGTCTCAGAGACGTGGAAGTGGAGTACAGACTGACCATCCCCAGAAGAGGGGGTGGTGGGGGAGAGATAAACCACAGAACTTATATGCATGCATGCATGAACAATGGACATGGACAACAAAGCTGGCACAGGGCAGGGAGGGAGGGGGAGGGGGGAATCAGTGGGGAAAAAAGGAGAAACATCTGTAACAAAAATAAATTAATTAATTTAAAAAAATAAAAATAAAGACAGCTGGGGGGCGGGGGGGAAGACAATCCTGAAGAGTCTAACCATCATATAGCATGGCCAGAATATCCGAGACAACAGCTGGTCCTGAGGCTACATCCTTACCATTGTTTTTTTCTTCTCTCTTAATTCTATTTACACCTACTCCATCAGTGGCCATATTCCCATCCATGCTTTCAATTATCACCAAATACTGAGGATCTCCCCCTGCCAAAAGAGCTACTATTCACTTTTTAATATATGTCAATGCCCCCATGAAGTATAATAGCTATACTCAAAAGTTCTACCTCTCAATCTCTGGAGGACCAGCTCAACTACTAGTCTAAGTTGCAGTTACCTAGTGGACATCTCTATCTGGATGTCCTATAGGACATTCAAAAACAGTGTCCACAGTTGACCAGAGCCACTTTTCCACAAAACCTGTTCCTCCATGATTAATTATTGTTACCATCTACTTAATTTCCCAAGTTAGATTTTCCTCTTTTAATTCTTATGCAACGTTCTATGTTTGAAAAAGCAACAAGGTCTTATTGAATCTATCTCAACTCTCTCCTTCCATTTCATTCTTACTGGCAATGCCACATGTCAGAGCCTCATCAACTCTTGCCAGGATAATTAGCCTCCTAATTGGTCTCCCTGCCTCCAGTCTTTATTCTACCATCTATCTTTCCCTTTACCAACATAAATATTGTGTTTACAACTCAGTCAGCTCTGAATGTTCATTATCATGCTCAAAAGTCTTCCATAATTCCCAATGGACTACTGTATAAAGACCAAACTCCTTAGTATGTCATACAAAGCCTTTACAATCTGGCCGCAATCCATCTTCTTGGCCTCACCTCCAGCTTCCCTCTTCTCACCCCCACATTCTAGCCAAATTGGAACACTAATCACTTCCTTAATCTGTATTGCATAAGCTGTTCTGCCTTACTGAAATGTCTTCCCCCGCCCCCTTCTCGATGAGCCACTTCTCATTTTCTTGTTTCATTTTTTTTTTTTATTGTTGTGGAAGGAAGATGAATGAGAGAGCGAGGTCATTCAAATGTCAGGTGTACAAATGAGAAGTAGAAAGGGATAGAGCAAAAGTTAAACAGATCATAATTTTCAGTAGAGATGAGAGAAGAGCCTGGCAACAATGTCCACAGATAGGACTGACTGTGGCTAGCTGACAATCTTGAGCAATAGCCAGAATGTAGATTCAATGATGCAAGTGGTAGTTAAAATGTGTGGGCCTACACAGAAGGGGTGGTTTCCCTATGTAAATGCTGAGTGGGAGAAACCTGTGGGTATGTAGGATGGTGGCTTACGACATACTGAAGAATAGGTATACCCACTTCGGTCTTATCTACACTCCCGCCATGACAGAATCCGGGGAAAAAGATTAAATCTAGGTTCCAGAGGCCTAGACATAGGATAGGTGAAAACTTTATTTCCAGCCTATCATAAAAAAAAATCTAGGGTTTGACCTCACTTTTATTTGTTATGATAGCATAAGTGGTAAATTATTATCTACGGAGAATTTCACCTGGTCTAGGGTTCCCAGTGATTGACTGCTAAGAAGAACTAGGTTGACCTTCTGTGCAGAATCATGTCCTGGTGAGGTAGGTCCCACAGTTTGGACTAGATGAGGTCAAACCTACCTCATTTCACTACTGGTAAAGGCACATTGTTCTGCTTTTAACTAACCACCTACAAGGGTTGTACTCCTGTCACCCATCCAGAAGCACAGTTTCAAACTTTCTGATAAGCAACATGGAGCAAATTCACAAAAGGGTCCCTGAAGGCTAAGCAACCATTTTCCCAAGTGGTCTAGTCAAAATGGCCCCAAATTCCAGGTCTTAGGCAGTCTGCATCAGCACATGAGAAGAAGGAAGAAGGACAAGGAGGGAGGGAGGGAGGGAGGGAGGGAGGGTGGAAAGAAAACAAAAATGATTCGCAGGCCCTATTCTTAGAGATTCTGTTTGGGTATGTCTAGAGTAGAAGGCAGGATTCTGTGTTTGTTTGTTTTTCCCCTCAAGATTGTCAAGGTGAGTTACATGTGCAGCTAGTTGGAGAACAACCACCTGAATAAAACGTTTGCCTCTGAAATGAGGGCTATGCTTATTCTAAGACTGTTTTTGTTAGACTGTTGCATTCTATATATTTTTGTCAGCTGCCCCTTAATACTATAATAGGTTCTAAATAAGTAAGCTAACAAAAAATAAGACTCAAAAACTGAGTGCAAAGTTTTTGTAATACTACTTGGCACGTGACTACTGTGTATATGAGAGAGAGAGAAGCAGAAAGAGAAAGGGATGGAAAGGCAGTCAGGGAGGCAAAAGGACAACATTCAGAGACAGATAAAAAGAGACATAGGGAGAGAGAGACAGAAAACGAGTGAAACAAATGAGACAGAAACAGACATAGTAGAAGAAACAAATACAGAAAGATACTGAGAATGAAAGAGGCACCGGAAGAAAAGGAGTGCAAGAGAAACAAATAAAGTGACAAAAGACAAGCAGATCAACAGGTAGAGGGGAAAAAAAGACAGAAACACAGGCGAGAGAGACAAGAGTTGTGGGAAAGAAAGGGACAAACAGAGAGACCGAGACTGAGATACACAGGAGAAAAAGAATGTAAGAGAGCGAATGAGATGCTTAGGCTACATTTATTTAAAAAAGTGATGTCATCTCTCTTCTGTCACCTATATCTCTTACCTTCCTGTTTTCCGGGAAGCTGTCTCAAAGAACCTGGTCCTCGAAGCCACCCTGCAAACAGAAGCCAAGCAAGTCCCATGAGTCGCTCTGGAATTTGTGAGAACCAATGGCCAATGGAAGAACAAGAAAATAGGAACCAGACAGGCCATCAATGCCAGGCCCTGCCTTAGCTTGCAAAGGACCTGGGTCTGAGGGGAAACCCAAGTATCAGAATGTGAACTGGCTCAAAGACCATAGGCACCTTCAAGGCTATGGTTGATACCTTTAGCTCCCTGTTGGTTCAGAATGGTCTAAGGATATTGCCCATTCAGGCTATTCTTAGAAGTAAGTGAAACAAGTCCTAGGTTTCAAAGTATAATTGTTGACATTATGTAAATACACTTAGCTAATTAGTTAAAAAGGAGGCAGCTTTTTAAAAATTTGCCCCATGCCCTGGCCAGTGTAGTGCAGTGGATTGAGGGTCATCCTGTGCATCAAACGTCACTGGTTCGATACCCGGTCAGGACACATGCTCAGGTTGTGGGCTCGATCCCCAGTGGGGGACGTGCAGGAGGCAGCCGATTGGTGCTTCTCTCATTGATGTCTCTCTCTCACTTCCTCTCTCTCCAAAATCAGTAACAGCATATTAAAAAATGAGTACATACAATAAAAATGTGCTCCATTTTACAGTTGTGGAAAACAAGAGACACGAGAACAAGAAACACCAGGAGGGAGTATGCTGAGAGGGGTCCCAGGCAGTGGCTGTGGCCAAACAAGGCGGGTCCCTGAGAAGTGCTGCATCCTCACAGCAGCAGCTTTATCTCTTGCTCTGTGGTTTGCAGCCCAGCCTCAGAGAGGTCTGTGGGACATCAGCTCAGCTCATACCCTGCAAGAGGTTCTCTGGAGGATCTGAGTCATTTTGGAAGATTTTACAAAAACCACACCCTTGCAAAAAAAAAAAAAGCCTCAAGCACAAGTGCAATGAGTAAACCTGTTCATTAAATTACTTTTAAAACCAGTAGCAATAACAAGAAAAAAAGAAAAGTTCCAGAGCCAAGGGAGCATGGAACAGAAGATAATCTTATCACCCTTCAGAGATCAGGATAGCTAGAAACAATGGGTCTCCTATTTGGCACTAAGGCTCAAACTGGTGAGTTCTGGGGTAATCTCTCAGCCTTCAGTGTTGAGTGGAACACTCCGAACAGGGCTGGTCTGTGCATTCCCCTAGACAACGAAGGGAATGGTGCCCGGGACTGTGCACTGTACACCCTTCGAAACCATAATGGTAATCCTGAAAGCATTCCTGGTGGCCTAAGATGGGCCTTAGGTCGACGATGAGGATTAACCCTACTTACACGGACGACGGGATTTCCCCTACATTGCCAGCTACGATATCTGGCTTTGTTTCTGTTTTCTGGGGAGTAGCTGCCCGGTATAAAGGGTCTGGAGGCCTCACTGGGGGACGGATGATGGTTGGCTTTTCTCCTGGAGGCCGTACTTTGCTGAAACTGTCAGAGTCTCCTGGAAGAAAAAAACATCAAGAACCTTGCTGGTTAGCCAAATGGAAAAATATGCAATATCAGAGTTATCTAGGCCACCTCCCTTGGCACCCATTTCTTTTGGGTCACTAACAACTCTTGATTTGTATTCTTTTATCACTCTTCTGTAACGAGTCTCCTAACTTGCCTTCCTGCCTGTAGGTCTCCAGTTTCCAGGTCAGTCAGTATAGAATGAATACACATAATTTTTATAAGACACGTCTGGCAGGAGTATGGTGAAATGGATGGACTCACACATTGCTGGTGGCACTGTACACTGGGCTTATTCTATCTAGATAGCCATCAAGAATTCTGCAACAATGGGGACGAAATGCAAAATCATACATATAAGACAGTTCATACTCGGTGATCCAGTTGATCCACTTTGGGGATAAGGTCCAAAGAAATTTAACCCAAAAGAAAAAAAAAATTAAAAATAAAAATAAACAAGAAGTCAGAACCAACCACAGAGGTTAAGCAAATGAGTGAATTTTTTACAAGCATTTAACCAATACTTATTATGCATGAACTGACAAGGTCTTGAGTCAGTTAAAAATATATAAGTATATAAAATAATACAACTGAAAAAGAGTCCACAAATGTGCTCATGGCCTAATGAGCACAATAGGAAAATAGACACGTGCACGACTATGCAAGGGTGTTAGAAGATCTTGATATTCATTCAGATTTTTGTTAGTAAATCTTTTTATTTTATTTTTTAATTTTCAATTGATCTTTATTGTTGAAAGTATTACAGATGTCCCCCTTTTCCCCCCATTGATCTCCTCCATCCTGCTACGCCACCCCCAGCCTTTACCCCACTATTTTCTGTGTCCACGGGCAATGTATATATGCATATAAGTTATTTGGTTTATTTCTCTCCCCTTCCCTTTCCCCTTCTCCTTCCCCTTCCCTCTGAGATTTATCAGTCTATTCCCTGCTTCCATGCTTCAGGATCTACTTTGTTCATCAGTTTATTTTGTTCATTAGATTCCACATATAAGTAAGACCATGTGATATTTGTCTTTTTCTGACTGGCTTTTTTCATTCAGCACACTACTCCCTAGGTCTCCCCATGTCATCTCAAAGGTTAAGAGATCTTTCTTTCTTACAGCTGCATAGTATTCCATTGTGTAAATGTACCACAGCTTTTTTATCCACTCACATACTGATGGACACTTGGGTTGTTTCCAGATCTTAGCTATTGTAAATAGCACTTCTGTGAACATAGGGGTGCATATATTCTAAATCTTGAGATTCATTAAGCTTTCTTCTATAAAAATTTTAAGGTAAGTATTAAAAATATTAACTTAAATCCACATAACACAGTTATAAGATTTACCCTAAGTATTGTCACTCTGTTTTTCTCCTCCTTAATATCTTCCCAGTGGCTATGTACAGAACAAAATTCAAACACCTTAAAATAAATTCAAGGCCCTCTATGAACTGGTCCAAAATTATCATCCCAGGCACTATTTCTGGACTATAACTACCAGCTCCACTCTAGTCAAACTGGTCTCCTCACTACTGTATCAAAGCAAGCTCTTGACTCTTACTTCTAGGTGAGACATATGTTATAGTGAAAAGCCCAGAGAGTCTGGAGTTGGGTAGACCTGTTTGTTCTGCTACTTCCAAGCTGTGGGAACCTGAGCAGTTACTTCACTTCTTTGATTATCAATTTATTCACCTGGGAAATGGGTATGGTAATCCCTTCTCACAAGGTGTTTGTAGGGACTAAATTAGATGGCCTATAGAGAATGCCTAGCATAAAGCAGGGGTCAGTATATGTTAGTTTGCCCTGCTTCTTGTTCGATATATACCCCTATTCTCATGTCTTAACTGTACTGTAACCATTCCTCAACACTCTGCTCAAATCTTACCTCTCTGAACACTCCAGGTGGCATAGCTAATTCCCATCCATGTAAACACTCATGAAGTGCTTATATATTGCCGTATGGGTTTTTTAGTTCCTTCAGCTAGACAGATATGAAAAGAAATCATGATAACACAGTGTGACCGGTGTTCCAGTGGAGGAATGAAAAAGGTACTATGCATGGACACACATATAAAGTCTGTCTCCCCATCTAGGGTGTGCCATACATTTCTGGACATGCCATTCCCCTTAGCACCAGGCTGGGTACACTGAAAAATAAATGACCCAAGTTATCATAGTAATCTGATTTTTCCAACACATTTTATGCCACTCAAAGCACTCTCCCAGAAAACTATTTGATGTTCACAGTAAGCTTGGAAGCAAAAACAGAGGGCTCTTACTTATCGTCTCCATTTGCCAAAGAAGGAAACTGAAGTTTAGAAAGGTGAACTGATTCACCCATCACATAGGTAAGTGGTAGAGTGATGACTGAGACCCCCCTACCTCCTGTTTCTGCATCCACTGTTCTTCCCAGCGTCTGCTGCTTTGCTGTTATTATTAGCAATGATAATAATAATAGTGGTAATGGTAATAAAATAACTGGTGAAGCTTTAGCTACCTTTTTACTGAACACCTGCTCTGTTCTAGGTAGGAGTCATCTCTGTATTCAGCAGAGTCCCAAGTAAATTGCTTTACATGCAACTGGTATTTAAAAAATATTAATGGAGTAAAGAAAAATGTAGTTCTGTCCATTAAAAGGACAACAACACAAAAAAAGCTTTTCCTTTTTAAGTCCCTACCTGTGCCATCTGTGATACATACAAACATGATGTATAAAAATTTCAGGGCTATTCTGAAACCTAAATCGAAAGGTATTCAACGTACTGGGTACTGCTTGAGGGCTTCTGTATCCATCTTTATGCTCTCAGAAGAAATTCACACAAGTGGTCTGACACAGACTTCACCCTCTAGAGGCTTAAAACTGAGTTGGAGAATGAAGTCACACTCCTGGGAAATATGTGACTACTGTAATTCATCATCCACATTACAGGGCCAAACTTGGGCACCCAAAAGAAGTAAGGCAAGAGAGAATTCCCTGGCACGGGACTGTCAGAAGCTTCGTGGAAGAAATAGGACTTGAGCTAGACCTTGACCTGAGAGAGAGCTAAGAATCCTGCCTTGCTTCTTCTCCTCAACAATGGCCTTCCTCCTTCTGGGAGTTTTTGGCAAGGTCAGAGACAGGTTGAGGGTGGAAGGAGTAGCTCTGAGCTCTTTCATGACATCCATATTTGAGGCCTGAGGCTTCTTTTCAGAGGCTCTAGAATATGGGAGATTATACATCTACCATCTTCCATGCCTGCCATTTCCTGGGAGGATGTTACCCACCCAGTAGCACTACCAGCTTTTGAATGTCTATTACATTACCGGATGTCTTGCACGCTTAAATTTTAAAAATCCTCATCCAAGGATATTTTTCCATTTATCATCAGATAGAGTGGGAGGGAGGGAGGGAGAGGGAGAGAGAGAAACCCTGACATGAGAGACACATCAACTGGTTGTCCCCCCCCCCCCCCCTCCGCACGACCTCGACCAGGACGGGGGACGAACTGCAACCAAGGTATGTGCCCTTGACCAGAATCGAAGCTGGGACTCTGGTCCATGGGCCCTGTTGCTCTAACCACTGAGCAAAACCGGCCAGGGCTTGCATACCTAATTTAATTAAACCTCACAGAAACCCTGCCTGCAATGTAGGCATTGTCCTCACTGACAGTTGAGAAAACTGGCTCAAAGAAGTGAAGTTCACCAAACTAAGATCATGTAGTTAGTAGTGAGACCCTTGTAAAAGCAAAACAACTGCTGTCATTCAACTGAGTATACATTATGTGCCAAGCCCATAGATACCCTATGGGCACAATTATTATCTTCATTTTACACATGAGAAAAAAATGGTTCAAAGAGCTTGTGGCTTGTCCAATGTCCCATAGCTAGGATGAGGCAGGATTCGAACTCAAATCTGGGAGACTCTGGAGCCTAAGTCACATCCAAGAACCCACTAAGCCTTTGAACCTATGGTCTTTCTACCAAACTGTACTTTCTATTCATTTATTTTCAACCTTGCTCCACAACCTTTCACTACAAATATGACGTCCCTCTCCAGCCCAACCTGTTGTCTCCCTCCCCATTCTCTGTTAAATGACTGTAACCAAAGAATCTTAGCATCTGTAGATTTCTCGGGCTATCAGTCTTCAACCTTAACCAACTTTCTTCCACCTTTCCTTATATCCATCTACATCCAACCTGAGTGCACAGAGTAAGGGGAGATGTTTCCCTTGTATAGATTACCCCAGTCTCCTAGAACTGTATCTTTCTTTCTATGATCCTGCCCCACACTCACCTAAAATCTCTTATCTCCTTTAGCCACTAGTTACCCTTTTGGATCAATTTAGAGTTGGGCTCCAGGGAAGGCGGGGAATGAAAACCAAACACAGTAGATAATTAAAGCATGATGAGTCCAAACAAGAAAATCTGGATAATGGGCAGCACAGCCCATTACTGCAAGAGCAAGTCTGTTCCTAATAACTTTAGAGCAGATGCAAATGCCACTCATAACATCAGTCACCCCAGTGGAGAACTGATGGCCTATGGCTGAGCAAGGCCTAACAAGCACAATTTCTCCAAGCCCAAGAACATGCCATTAGAATACAGTCTTTTCTCTCCCATAAGACAGAGGAAGAGAGTTAAAAAGGGCCCCCAACCCACATGGCATAGGGTCCCAGTGTGGGTCTATTCCTTACTTTCATCTCAGAACCTCAGACATAGTGAAGGGCTCCTTGCCCCATGCTCCTACCAGAATTTATTGTTACCTGCACTAGAACATGGATCACACTAGTCTGGGACTGACTGATTACATGCCAGCCTCACCATGAACCTCTGGAAGGCAGGGACCAGAGACTTTCATCTTTGTCCCATTGCACAGCACTATGTCTGAATAAATAAACAAACACATGCAAGTATATGTCTTGCCCTTCCATTCCCCAAAGGAAAGCCCAAAGTCCTGCCGTGGAAGCTACACAAATGTCCTCTCCAAAGCCAGGCCTGGTAACAGGCAGTGACATCAAAGGAAGGGAGGAAACTGGGCTTGTATAATTTTGCTCCCCCCACATGAATGTTTCTTAGAAAACAGAAAGGGGAAGGTGGCTAAAGCCACTTAAGAAATAAGAATGTGGTACCCAAAAAGTCTAGGTTCATGCCCCATCTCTACATCTTACAAACTGGGTGGCTAGGCAATTTATTTCATTTCTCCAAGCCTCAGTTTCTCCATCTGGGAAATGGGGAGAACAAAACCTATCTCATAGGCCTGTCACAATGATTAGCTACAACAGAAGAGAAAGCATCCATATTCTATGTCCAGAATAGAAAAAGGCCCTTCAAGTTGCCGGCCAGAACCTGGGACTAACGACTATCATTTATAACTCAGAGTCAGAGTTTTGAGCAGCTTTGGCTTAAATGATATCTGTTCTCATGCCTGGAATCTATCACTGCAGTGGCAGCCAAAATGGGACGAAGGGAGAAAGTAGGAGGTGGGAGCAGGCAAGGGTCAATGTGGCAATACTAGAGGTTTGATGAATTTTCCACCAAGGCTAGAACTACTACTCAGTTCTGTCTTCTGTAGCCAAGGCAGGGGGCTTAAAAGAAAAGCTACATTACACTAGCCTGAGGCAGAAAGCAAAGCCAGGCAAGGCTGTGGCAGAAATTTGGATAGTCTGGCTGACACTGGACAGTCAGATCAGTACTTACATGAACTGAAACCATTACATCAGAGCCATGGCCACCAGCAGTGTGGCACAGGACTGTGGAGGAAAGGGAAGAAGGGTGCCGCTGGGATTCAACTTTGCAGCAGAACATGGTGAAGGCGGAACAGATAGGGAGGGCTAAGTTACTGTGTGTGCCGAGTTGATAGGATCTGGCTGACCTTAAGACTTGGCGACAGGCGAGACAAACCTTACGGTGATGAACATAAGCTAAGTTACACAACTCTCTACCAGATTGATGTGAAGGTCAATATATGACTTATAAATTGAAGCAGATGTCTACATGGAAGTCTGGCCTTACTTGGCTGCTTCCCAGAAGAAGCAAGTCTTACAGAGGGGAAGGGCAAGGGACAGGAATTAATAACATATTTGGAATATTGATTTATGTCAGATATTTTATTTGTTATTCATTTGAAACCCGAGCAATAATTCTGTAGAGTGAGCTGTTGTTCCCATTTATAGGCATGGAAACCGAGGTGCAAAGAGGCTAAATAACTTAACTGTAATCATACACATGCTTCAGTGTTTTGAGCCAGAGAATGCAGACCCAGTTACTTAGGGAAAATCTTATGGGACGCCCATTGAATCGCTTTTACTGAATGGCACCCTGAGACAATGCCATCGGGCCATACTGAGGCCGTCATATGCGACAATCCATGGGAGAAAACACTTCTTGGAAACATTTTCTGGCCTCAAAAGCAGAAGAGCTGTGCTTTACTTGAACAACTGGCTTGTTGTTGTCACCATAAGAACTTAGAATTATATAACCACTGAGTTTTTTTTTTTTTTTTTTTTTTTTCCCTTTTGTTGTTTACTCGGGGAAGTTTGGAGCCAAGTGCTCCAGCAAGTGTGTGAGGCTTCAGGGCAAACAATGTGTGTACTAACTCTATTCTTTCCATCTTCCTACTGTGAAACCCTCCTCCTCCTAGCCTCAACTGTTTTTACCTGTATTCTGGAATCGAAGGCAGAAGTCAACAAACTTTCTGGCAAGTATCAGATAGCTAACATTTTAGGCTACCGCAGTGTGAAAGGGGCTCTAGGCAATGGCTAAATGAAGGGGCATGTGTCCGTGGATGTGGCAATCTGAATGTCATATAATTTTCATGTGTTATGACATATTATTTTTCTTTTGACTTTTTACTACCATTTTAGGCCATAGTCATCTAAGCCCTCGAGCAGGCAGGGACCTCATATGCCTCATTCACCTCAACACCTAGAATGGGGCCAGACACAGTAGGTACTCCATAAATATTTGTTTATTAAAGAAATTATTCTTACTATTTTTTTTCATCCTCACCCGAGGATATTTTTCCATTTTTTGTTCAGATAGAGTGGGAGAGAGAGAGAGAGAGAGAGAGAAACATCGACCTGAAAGGGACACATTGAGTGGCAGCCGCCCGCACGACTAACCAGGTCCGGGGACAAACTGCAATCAAGGTACGTGCCCTTAGCGGGAACCGAACTTGGGTCTCTCTGGACCACAGGCCGATGCTCTAACCGCTGAGCTAAACCGGCCAGGGCTATTCTTACTATTTTTAAGTTCTTATATTTGTCTATATTATTAAATGCCTTAAATCTTTTTGGGAACAGGACAGGATAAGAAACATAAGGCACCATTTTAGAAGGTTATCTAGCTGGGAAGTAAAAGAACCAGGGCTTAGAACTAAGCCTATGGCTCTCAAAGTCCATATTCTTTCCTTTATATCATCCTGTCTTCATGCACTTATATTCTCCCCCAAATTCCTGCTGGACTAGCCCCAACCTCCCTACATGAGTCTCCATGTGTAGTAGCCAATTAAATTTGCAGAAGCCAGCCACATCCTAATTTGTCTTTTTTTTATTTTATTTTTTTCCATCACCATTTACCCCACTATACCTTCTTCCACCTCCACCCACACCCCTCCCCCACAATCACCACACTATTGTCCATGTCCATGAGTCCTTTGTCTTTTTTTGCTATTTTGCTCAGTCCCTCCACATACCCCCAAGGCCCCTCCCCCCAACCAGTGCTGTCTGCCCGCTCTCTTATCTATCAGTCCATCTCTATTTGGCTTGCTAGTTCAGTTTGTTTATTAAATTCCACATATAAGTGAGATCATGTGGTATATGTCTTTCTCTGACTGGCTTATTCCACTCAGCAAAATGCTCTCCAGATCCTTCCATGCTGTCACAAAAGGTAAGATTTCTTTCTTTTTTTGTGGCCAAGTAGTATCCCATTGTGTAAATGTACCAAGCTTTGTTATCCACTCATCTACTGATGGGCACTTGGGCTGCTCCCAGATCTTGGCTATTGTACATAACTGCAATGAACACAGGGGCACATACACTCTTTCGAATTAGTGTTTTGGATTTGTTTGGATAAATTCCCAGAAGTGGAATTGCTGGGTGTTTTGCAGAAGTTGCGCCCTCCTTTCCCTATTTCTACAAAACTGGAGAGTAAGAATAAGAAAACAATAGTTCACAGATTCAAAGCTTCTTATAAAAAGGTAAAGTGATACTTGTGCCTCATTGAAACACAGGCTTTGGTGCCTACCAGATATAGTAAGATTTAGAATACAGCTCTGCCGGTTAGCAGCCTTTGGCAAGTTACTTACCACTAGGAACCTCGGGTTTCTAGTAGAAAATAAAACAATACATTCTTCACAGGAAGGTTGTGAAGATCAAAAAGAGCATGTCAGTACCTAGTGCAGTGCCAGGCACATAGCAGATACCTAATAAACGGCAACACTAGCAATAATAATATTAATAAGTAATATCATTATTATCAATTTCTTCCACAAATAATGACTGCCTGCTATGTGACAGTTAGGCACAGTTCTAAGCACTTGGAATACAGAGGTAAATAAAAGAGGCTAAAATTCTCTGATCTCATGAAGCTTACATTCTAGTAATTATTGTTAATGGTTTTTATGGTCTTGTCTACCATTCTAATATTAGTGATAGTAAAATGGAATGGATTTCTACTTAAATATCTCCAATTTCAGAAAGATCTCAAGGTGCAAAGTAGTTGGGTTCAGTTCTGGTTCCCATGGGATTCCCAAGCACTTACCCTCCTTGTGATGAGCCGCGGGCCGAGGAGCTGGTCTCTTGATGTGGAAAGAGGGGGCCTTGGTGGGCCCAGAGCCTGACACAGATCCATTGGTGGCCTTTGGTATGGCCTTGGTCCCTCCTCCATCCTGCAGCCTAGACACCAATTTCCCCACGTCCACCTCGGGGCAGGACTCCAATTTACCATCTGAAGCCAGTCTGCTTGGGGACTTCCTCCCAGGATCAGGTTCCCCACTCTTCTGAATAGGCAGGTTGGGGTACTGTGGTGGTTTGGGGGGTTCTATACTGTTGGTGATAGTACCGTTGGGTGTTTGATGTTGAACTGCGTCTAGGAAAAGTTGGTGCAAACAGCGAAGATTAATGATAACCTTTATAACCTTTTCATGTTATAGTGCATACATGGTATTGAAAAGCTGTATACATTTTCAAAGGAGCTGTTATTATAGATCAGATCAACAATATCCTACAAAATCTACCTATCCCAATTCATATGGAGTCACAAGTCACAACAGATATAAAATTCAATTCAATATGAGTATGATTTTCACCAGCACAATTCAATAAAACTACAATATACCAAGATGTTTTATTCAAAAGGATATGTAATTCAAAAGGAACTTAAGGGTCTTCAATCAATTGCATATTCTATTAATTTTTTTAAAAAGAGACCAGTTACTCCTTAACTATTTCTATTGCCCTCAAAAGTAATTTGTAAAGAGCTCTTAAATTTCAAGTTAATAAACTTAACAGAACTTAACTTCTTTTTCCATCTTCATAGAAAACAAAACCCAACTAGCCATTTGATGTTCTTCTAGCTTTTGTGGTTTATGGAATTCCCTGTGATAATAGTACATGTGTTTCAGTTGTTCTGAGTCTTATTTACTTAAAGCTTTGAGACTGTAATGAGAGCCAGGGATATTCTCCCAAGAAAAATTAACCTACACAAAGGCATGCAAAATTTTGAAAACTAATTTTAAGAAATGGAAGTAGTCCCCTGAAACTGTTAATGAATCTCTAATTGAGGATTCCTTCTGTAAGGAGCTTGTCACATTTCGTAGTAATAGAAAACCCGGATCCGAGTACAGTGGTTAAGAACAGAGGTTCTGGTCAGTTAAATGATATCTGAGAGACATGTCACCAATTGTGAAACATGGATCTTATTTGAATTCTGATTTTTAAAAACATAAAATATGAGAAAATGAGAATATGAACATTAATTAGGTAATAACCTAAAGAAATTATGATTTTGTTTTTTCTTTTAGGTATGATGATGGCATTGTGATTTTAACTAAAAGGAGTGCTAATCTTGTAGAGATACATTTATAAATAAAATGACATGTTGTCATGATTGGGACAGTGGGTAGGGGTATGAATGGAACACAACTGGGTGTTTGATGGTAAATGTTGAAGCTGGGTAATAGGTACATGGAGGGTATTGTTATACTTTTTTTTCAACTTCTGTTTATGTTTGAAATCCTCCATAATAAAATGTTAAAATAAATGTATGGGGAGCATCAGCCCATACACCGAAACATTTCAGGTTCAATTCCCAGTCAGAGCACATACCTAGGTTGTGGGTTCAATCCCCAGTCGATGCATGTATAAGAGGCAACTAATCAATGTTTCTCACATCTCTCTCTCTCTCTCTCTCTCTCTCTCTCTCTCTCTCTTCAAATCAATTAAAAAGCATATCTTTGGGTGAAGATTTAAAAAAAAAGAAATGCAGGGACTGGAGCTAGGTGCCCAGGACTGAATCTTAGTTCTGATTCTTAACACCTGTGAAGTCTTAGATAAGTTCATAATTCCTCTGTACCTCAAGTTTTCTCCACAGAGGAATAGGAATAACAGTACTTTCCTCTCAAGGTTGTGGTGAGGATGACATGAGATGGACTACTATTTCAGTGCCTGATATGTAATGCACACTCAATAATTCTTAGTTACTATTTATACTCTTATGCTCCAAGTGGGCAAGAGTTTCCATGTGGGAAGGAAGGGCTAAGTCTTGCTGCAAAGATTTTTCTCCCAGAGAGTTTTCTTCTCCTTGGGAACCTGTCACCAATCACTGCTGCCATCACCACAGGAGTCAGGGCCAAGAGTTCCTCTATCCCCTACTCTGGTCCCATGGTGTATATATATGACCCTGCTTTTATTAACCCTAACACAATTGCTATCGGACTAGAGCAGCCAAATAAACAAAACAAATGACCAAAGGCTCACAAATATTAGTAGGGACATAAACGCAGGACTGCCATGTAACTAGATCACCTGCTTCCAGGACATATCTTGGGGCAGAGGCCATCTTTAAACATCCAGCACTTGGAAGTAGCTGCAAGTACATTTACACTCTCAAAACAATGGAGCAAACAGTGACATGAATTCCTTCTTCCAAATGCGTTAGGCCCCATATTCCAATTACTTGTTTCCATCTGAATACTTTCTTCTTCTGGTGGAGAGACCCTAGAAAACCCTGTTTTCCTTTAGGGAATACAACAGGGTTTAGCTGTGCGACACGTCATAACAGTATCATCACCATCTCAATAGAGTATAAGAGTACAGTCTCATTGAGATGTTCACCTATACAGTATCAGAGAGGCCACTACCTTCCACATAGCAAAGGGTCTTTTCCTAGCTCACAGAAATAGGGGATGGAATGATAGTAGAGACGGGGACTTTGGAACTAGGCCCTTCTGCCAGGGTAACCATTTCCAGGTTCTGGGATATGTTGAATAATAATGATAAAAATGGCAATGATAATAATAATGACAGTGATAACAATGGTAACGATAACAGATATGATCATTTGAGCACTTTTTCTGTGCCAGGCCCTGTTCTAAATACTTTACATGGATTATCTCATGCAATATTTAAAACTAGTCTACAAAGTAGTAAACTCTTATTACTCCCATTTTACAGATAAGGAATCTAAAGCACTAGGAGGCTCAATGTTACAAAACCAGTGTGGCAGAGCTAGTTTTCAAATCCCGAAGTCTGTTTCCAGAGTCCACACTCTTTGTCAAGAGAGAGTTCATTGCTTCTTCAGATGATAAGAGTTCAGCATCATCTCCTTTTCCTAACCAGACATCTGTTTCCAAAGGAAAACACACAGACCAGATTCAGAAACTGCAAAGAATTGGGAGTAGATCCTTATCAGATACTGAGGCCTCACAAATAGGCAAGTAGCCAAGCAGGGGCCTCTCTTCTGTGTGTGGGTAAGTGGTGGGGAGGTGCTCTGTGAGGCTGTGCACTAGTCTACTAAGAGAAATAAGTCAATTATTAGAATACAAGTAGAATCATGAAAATGAGGGCTATAAGAAGGACAGTGCTAATTCTGTCTGATGGGCTGGAGAAGATCTTGTGAAATTGGTCACATTTGAGCTGGTACTTTAAGAATTACAGTAAGTGGAAAAAAGGAGAAAAAGGGATTTCAGACAGAGAACAACTTAAAGGAGTGAAAGATCATGGTTTGTCTAAGAAAATGTAAAATTAAAATAAAAAGTTTTGTGTGGCTTGATTATGGAAACCATTTGTAGATGAAAAGTGTGAGTAGCTGGAGATGAGGTTGTTAAGGTGGGTCGGGGCTATGTCATGAAAGCCATGTTCAAGAATATGAACTTTATCATTGGGGTGCAGAGGACCATAACTTTTTTTTGCAGGGAAATGGCATCATTACATGTGTTTTTAGAATATCCTTTTAAGTGCATTATGAAAAATATAGTAGATTAGAGAAACTATAGGTAAGAAGACCAGATAGGTGACTGCTGATGGGAAAGATCTAAACTGGAGCAGCAGCAGCAAAGACAGACAGATTCAAGAGATGTTAAGGGGGAACATGGACAGAATTTATATATGGGGATGAGAATGAGTCCATGATGATGGTGGAAGGACTCACTAAAATACTATATACAGGTGGAATAACAAGTTTTTGGGGGAAATGATGAAATGCTACTGGTAAAGAACTGTGGTGAGTCAAAGGATTTGTTCCTACTCAGAACAGCATTCACACGTTATAGGAAGTACAATATTATAGAACACAAAAGAGCTCTGCAATAAGATGAATGCAAACTGTTTCTCTGTCATGTAGTAGCTGTGGGAATGGGCAAACTACTCACCCTCTCTGAATCTCCAATGCCTTCATTATAAAATGGATCTCAAGATATCTACCTCAAATGGTATAAGTGACGAACACTACATGAGGATGAATTTGCACCCACTTAGGATGAGTCAAAAGATAACAAGTCATGGAAACAACCTAAGCATCCGTTGTTAAAGAAAATGTGATATTTAGCTTTAAAAAGAAGGATATCTGGTCTGACCCGTGTGGCTCAGTCGTTGAGCATTGACTCATGCACCAAGAGGTCGCCGGTTTGATTCCCAGTCAAGACACATGCCCAGGTTGTGGGCTCAATCCCCAGTGGGGGGCATGCAGGAGGCGTCCAATCGATGTTCTCTCTCATCAATGTTTCTATCTCTCTCTCTCAAATTAATAAAGAAAAAAATTTTGAATAAAGGAGGATATCCTGCCATTTGCAGCAATATGGATGAAACTGGAAGATGCTGTGCTAAGTGAAATAAGCCAGACAAAGAAAGAAGAAAATCCTGCATAATCTCATTTATATGTGGAATCTCAAATGTGGCTACATAGAAGCAAAGAGAAGAATAGTAATTACCAGAGGCTAGGAGGAGCTTGGGAAATAGGGAGATGTTGGTCAAAGGGTACCAAGTAGCAGTTATGTAGGATGACTAAGTCTGGATATCTAATGCATGGCATGATGACTATTTTTAATAATAATATAGTGAACACCAGAAATTTGCTAATTAAATTTCAGGAGGTATCAAAAAAAGTAGTAACTATGTAAAAAGATGACATGTTAATTAGCTTACTGTAGTAACCATTTCAGTATGTATATGTGTATCAAATCATTTTATATACTTTCCAGATATAAAATTTTTACTAAAAGAAAAAAAATGTTGGTGACGATGTGGAGAAATTGGAATATTCATCTACCATTGGTGGGAAGGCAAGATAGTGCAGATACTTTAGAAAACAGTCTCAAAATATAGAGTGTCCCCAAAAATGTATACACAACTTTGAATACTTATAAAGCCAGTGTTTATTAAAATGAATTTCATTTTCAAAATGTAATAGAATCTGCAGACATTCTTTATACATTTTGGGGGGACACCCTGTAGTTCCTAAAAAGTATAAACATAGAATGATCGTATCACTCAGCAATTCTACTCCTAGGTGTATACCCAAGATCATTGAAAACATGCATTCACGCAAAAATGTGTTCACAAATGTTCATAGCAGCATTATTGCCAAAATGGAAACAATCCAAGTGTCCATGAACTAACTGATAAATGGATAAACAAAATGTGATCTATCCATATAAGTCAATATTCTTAATCCATAAAAAAAAAAAAATGAAGCACTTATACATACTACATCATGGATAAACCTTGAGATCATTATGATAAAAAGACAGCCACAAAAAAAACACCACATATTATATGATTCTGGACATTTATATGAAATGTCCAGAATAGGCAAATCCATAGAGACAGATGGTAAATTAATAATGTCCAGGTATTGAGAAGAGTGGAGTTTTGAGAATACAAGGTTCTTTTGCAGGGCATGAAGATGTACTGAAATTAGATGGTTGGACAAGTTGGTGAGTACACTAAAAACCACAGATGTGCACTTTAAAAGGGTAAATTTTATGCCATGTGAATTGTATCTCAGTAAAAAAGTTAAAAATATAAATATCTAGATTAGGCGATCCCATTAGTGATCTTCTGACACAAAGCCCTCATCACACAGAGGAGCAAACTGAATCCCAGAATGGGGAAGTGATGAGCCCAAGTCACTCAGCATGCTAGTGACCTAGATAAAATTTGACCTTAGGTCTACTAACACCCAGTTCACTTATTTACTACACAGCTGCCATGTCGGTACTATAGATACAAAGTTGAAAAATAAAAGTCTGGGGCAAAGAGATTATAGTCTCTGGAGTGTATTTGGAGAGCTTGTAAATAAACCAATATATAAGATTATAATAATAAATAAACCCAATAAAAATAAAGTTATGGAACAACAGAGTGGTCATTTAATGTTTCTTTCCACTTTCTTCTGAATGCTGGCTCACATCCTCTGTGCAGAAAGTGATCCTTTAAGCTGGGATCACCTGTCTCTTCATTACTCCTTACACACTCATTCACTTATTCTACAAGTATTTACTGAACACATGCAATTTATAAGAATTGTTCTAAGGGAAGGTGGTAAAGTAAGTTTTACATTTTAATGGAGAAAACAGTATTAAATATGTGAACAAATAGTAGCAAATGATATTAATAAAACAAAGCAGTATAAAAGGATAGGAGATGGGGAAAGCAGGAGGGGTAGGGGTTGGGGAGGAGGGGTTCAAGAGGGAAAAAAAAGGGGGACATCTGTAATATATTCAACAATAAAGTAAGTTTTTTAAAAAGGATTGGAGGAGAAGAATTTGTTAACTAGAGTGTTCTGCAAAGGTCTCTGTGAAGAGATGGCATCTAGAAGAAATCTGAATAAAGGAATGAAGCTTGCAAAATTCTGGAGGAAGAATGTTTGGGGCCAAGAGAACACCAAATATAACGGCCCTTAGGTAAACCTGACAGCAACACCAATGAGATTAGAGCAGAGATTACAAAGGGGACAGAGAGACAGTAAATTTCAAATATAAACAGAAAAGTGGGCTTGAAAAACATCTGGGACATTCCAACATGTAGAAGTTGGCAAGAGAATGAAAGCCAGAAGAGGAGACTGAGATAGATATGTCTAGTGAGGTAGAAGGCGAGTTTGGTGTCCTGAAAACCAAGTGAATAAAGTGTTTCAAGAAGGAGTCAACCAACTTTGTCAAATGCTGTTCACAAGCTGACTATGATGAGGATAGCAGAATGGCGTTTGGTTTGACCACATGGGGATTGTTGAGAAACCTGACAAAAATGGTCTCAGTAGACTAGTAGAGAGGGAGGCCCATTTAGAACGAGTGCAGTAGCCATACTAAGCAATGATTCTACTGAATGGCATTTGTTTGTTCACACATATCTCTCTTCATTTATTCTATAAACTCCTTGAGTGCAGAGACTGTCTTAATTCTACCTAGCACCTAGCACTGTACATGGCAGAGAGTAGTAAATCCATATGAGCTGATTTTCTTCCCAAATTTATTGAGATATAATTGACAAATAAAAATTGACTCATAGATTGAGAGCAGGCTGACAGCTGCTTCTTTCTTTATGATTTGATTTTTTGTAATGGTATACTTTGATTCCTTTCTCTATATATTTTGTGTATCTGCTAAAGGTATAGTATTTTTCAGTATCATGAAGTTTACATAAAATGTCTATCTTATTCGTATAGCAATCTGTTTTAAGCTGATAACAAAGTAACTGACCACATACAGAAACTACATTTTAACTTCTCCTTCCTCTACATTTTATGTTATTAACATCATGATTTATATTGTATGTCCATTAACAAATTATTGTAGCTATAGATATTTTAAATAATTTTGTATCTTAACTTATAAACTGGTTAAAAGTGATTTACACATCATTATAGTATTAGAATAATCTGAATTGGACTATATACTTATCTTTACCAATGAGTTTTATATACTTTCATGTGTTTCCATGTTGTTAGTCAGTGTTCATTTATTTTAACTTGAATAAATGCTTTCAGAAACCAGGTCAATTGGTAATGAAATCCCTCAGTATTTGTTTGCCTGGGAAAGTTTTATTATTCCTTCATTTCGAAAGGGCTGCTTTGTCAGGTATAGTATTCATAGATGACAGTTTTTTTTTTGTCAGGTATAGTATTCATGGATGACAGTTTTTTTTTTCCCCCTCTCAGTACTTATCACATATCATTCCACTCTCTCGGGGCATGTTTCTTCTAAGAAATCTGTTCATAGTGCTATAGCAGTTTCCTTGTATGTGATGATTCACTTTTCACTTGCTGCATTTAAAATTCTCTCTTTGTCTTGGTCTTTTGAGAATTTAATATAATATGTTTTAGTGATGATCTCTTTAGTTTAATCTATTTGGGTTTGTTTGGGCTTCAAGGATCTGAATGTTCATTTCCCTCTCCAGATTCAGTGAGTTTTCTGTCATTATTTCTCTAAATCAGCTCCTCTCCCTTTCTCTTTCTCTGCTCCTTCTGGGTCTCCCATAATGTGTATATTACTTGGTAGATAATGTACCATAAGTCTCTTAGGTTTCCTTTACATTTTATCAATCTTTTTCCTTTTTGTTCCTCTGACTGGATCATTTCAAATGACTGTCTTTACGTTCATTAATTCTTTCTTCTGCTTTGTCAAGATTGAGTTGAACCTCTCTATTGAATTTTTCTGTGTGGTCATTGTGTTCTTCAGTCCCATAATTTCAGTTTGGTTTCATATGGTTTCTATCATTTTCGTGAACTCCTCATGTATTATTTTCATAATTTTGTTTAGTTGTCTATCTGTGTTCTCTTGTAACTCTCTGAGCATCTTTAAGATAATTATTTGGAATTCCTTTTCAGACAGTTCATAAATCTCTCTTCCAATAAGTTTATTTCTGGTGCTTTATGTTGTTCCTTTTATGGTATCAAATTTATGTAATTATTCCTAATCCAGGAGGCCAGTCAACACACCAGAGATTCTGGGTGGGCTATTTGATGGGCTCCACAGGTGGACTTGCTGCTGGAGTTCGTAGGTAGGTTGGTCCAATGCCTAGGTAATTTGCTAGGGAAGCCTGCTGCCTGAATCTGCTAGGGCAAGCTTGCAGCCTGGGGTTGTAGGGCTCACCTGGTATTGGAGTAGACCCAGAGGCTCAGTCTAGAGGCTGAGTCTGTGGTTGCATCATGGAGATTAGGGCCACAATGGCTGGCCTGACCTGACACTGTGGTAGGTCTGGAGTCTGGGTCTTCAGGGATTTACCGGTTCTGAGGCAGGCTTGGAGCCTGGGTCTGTGTAGGCCAGATAAGAACCTGGGTCAATGAGGAATGGGTTGGTGCTGAGGTTCACTGGGGTAGGCCTGGTGCTAGTGTCCAAAATGAAGTTGGGTCCTCACTTCACTCTCCTTCTCTCAGGTGGAGGTCAATTTCCTCAAAATGCACTGTGTAAGCTTGGGGGAGGAGTAACATGGGTAACATAAAAAAGTTCTTCCTACCATATGCAATGCACCTCTTCTTATGTTTGTGCTCTACCTAGGTGCTATAATCTCTCAGCTAGCTACCATAATTCTCATGAAGGTATTTTGATGCATGGATCATTGTTCAAATTGATATTACTGTGAGGGGACATGCTCTGGAAACTACTATTCAGACATCTTGATGACATCACTCTTCCATGTTAGCTGGATTTGAAATTAAAATCTCAGAACATTCAGAAAGCACACTGTTCACCCATTTCAATGTATTGAGGTGAAAACATAAGAACATTTTGGATCCTCCACTGGCCTCCTAAGGGATCATGGTAACTGGCTTTACAGGTCTGTCCTTATTTATCCACTGTCAATGGACTAATTTGCTCTCGGGGCACACATTTTTAAAACCTTGCTTTGTGTGGCCCAGGAGCCAGGAAAAGTCTACCTTTACATGGGGGAAAATGGTCACAACTCCACTTCTGCCTTTTTGTGTCTAATCTCTGTTAAGAAACTAAAGGTAAAGTTTAGTACTGACCTTCACCTTCATCCAAGGAAGAAGTATAGAAAACGGTCCTTTCCCGCAGCAAGCGCTTCGAAATTGTGATTGGTTTGTGCCTTCTTGCTGTAACTCGAGGTGGAGGCACTGGGGGTGCAGCATTTTCCTCAGGTGGACCTGAATAGATCTGTAAAGGGGGGATATTTCCAGGAAACAATGATAAAGATCAAGTTTTTGTCTTCCTAATGCTAACTATTAGTTGATAGCTACCAGCATTACATCTAGAGTCTGTCATAGCAATTCTAAAATGACTAAAGAAATTGGGGGGATTGTCTTAATCACTCTAGCTACCAGCAAGTGTTTAGGGATCTCCTACCATGCTCGAGGCACAGGACCTGGCATTTCTCAGTGTGGAAGAAAAAATACAGACAAAACCTCCAGTATTAGTACTGGATTTTCCATTTACTGCCTGGGAAAACTCAATCAAGTCACCGCCCATCTCTGAGCCCAAACCTCCTCATCTGTATCATGGAGAGCACACCAACTACCTTACAGGGTGCAGAGAGAATCCAGGAGAAACTATAATCAAGGTACATTGTATGGGTAGGTGTGTGGTGTAGAGATAACTAAAAATACCCACATGCACTCAATATTTCTGAAAGGATATCAAAGAAAATGGTTATATAATTTGCCTCAAAACAGGACTAATGAGTGGCTGAGGAAAAGATGAAGGGAAACTGATTTTCACTCCTATATCATTATTATCTTTAAAAATTTCATACCATTTATGCATTATTTATTCAAAAAGGGCAAAAACATAGTGCCTTGAAAGATGTAAAAAGTGCTGGATTAATGAGAGATGAGCTTTGATTAGAATTTTTATATAATGTCTCACATGTCCCTGGAAATTTTGGCCAGAGTGTACACACTTTGGGAGGACACACATATGTGCTGAGGGAGGGAGGTGACCCTTGTTCAGTGCAATAATTAAATCAACCCCAGTGATTAGTGCAAAGAGAAATGTCAGAGCCCAACATTCTATCAGAAAAGAGTCAGCATAGGCTGCACAGTCACAGGACTTACTAGATTGGAAACACAAGGCAAACTTGCATTACAGCTGGATAATAATAGAGAACAATGCAAGAACAATCACAAGATAGCACATGTCTCAATGTCTCATGGCTTAGGGAAGAGAGAGTATGACATAGTAGCAAGCAGATGAGCTCTGAGGCCACGCAGTTTTGGGTCATATTTCTGGTTCTAGCACTATTTAGCAACAAGTTATAAATACCTAATATTTTACAAGCATTTGCTTAGGCATTCTAGTAGTTGTTACAAATATTCCTTGTTATTCATCAAACACACCAGGGCCTTTGCACTGAGTCTTTAATCTACATGCATCGCTCTACCTCCAAATGTCCATATAGCTTGCTCTCTCAATTTCAGCAGGATTATAATCAAATATACTCCTGTTAGTAAGTCCTTCCAGGCAAATGTATCTAAAACTTTGACATGGTCCTCTTTACCCAATGCTCTCTATGCCCCTTTCTTGTTTAAGTTTTGTTCTTCTAAGCATTCCTTATCACTTTACAACAGAGTATATTGTAGTTATTTATTTTTGTTGTTGTCTGTCTTCTCACTCCTATTTCCAACTAAGACAAGGCAAAAGGGACTAGAATAACATATTCAGCCTGAAACAATTAAAAAACTAGAAAAATACATGTAGCAATGGTTTTCAAGGCATTTGAAACCTGGCAATGAAGGACAGTGATCCACAAGAGACAGGAAAAATAAATGAGATAAGCCCCACCACTGCCCAGCTTACAGCCTGGAGTTTGCATCACATAATGCATGGAGGGGAACTCAGGGGGAGCCCCGCAGTCTCCCTAAGTTGATGACATTGAGTTGCAAGTATGGGGAGGGCCAAGAAGTGAGAGTTTTCAGGGCAGAGTACCAAAGAGAGGACTGCTGTACAGAGAGTTCTGGAGATCTGCAGGGTTCCTCTTTAAGACTTTAGTTGAGTACTGACCAACACATTTGAGTGAGGCAAGAACCGCATGATAGAATTTGGGGGAACAATGCCTAAGATCACAGAGTACCTGGAAGAGTTCCTGTTCTCACCAACCAAGGTAGAAAATAGAAAAATTCATAGGATACTAGGTAGAATACACAACAAATTTTGCCTCATTGGTAAAAAAATAAAAAATAAAAAAAATAACCCTAGACTCAGTACTATTCTTTTTCTGCTTAACAAAAACTAAAAGAAATAATGTTAAAAGAAATACTTTAAAAGAAAGCTTCAAGCTGTTTTCAAGTAACTTAATTGTATCTCAGAAAATAGCTTAAGAATGTTATTTATAGGAATACCCAAAAAAATGGCCAAGATTCAAGAAGGCAAAATTAGCAGTCTTGTACCCAATAAGAAATGATCAGAAATAACTTATATATAGCTTTCCAATTTTGATGCATTTTATTTCTTTTTCTTGCCTAATCGCCCTGGCTAGGAATCCAATACTGTGCTGAATAGGAGTAATGAGAGTGAGCACCCTTGTATTGTTCCTGATCTTAGCGAGAAAGCTGTCCACCTTTGGCATTTGAGTACGATGTTAGCTGTGGGCTTGTCATGTATGGCCTGTTATGTTGAGGTGCATTCCTTCAATAACAATTATTAAATATTTTTATCATGAAAGGATGTTCAATTTTGGTAAATGCATTTTTTTCTGTAATGTAGGTGTTTATAACATTCCCCTCTTAGAACTTCTTTTGCTATATCCCATAAGTTTTGATACACTTTTTTCTATTGTTTGTTTCTAAATATTTTTAAATTTCCTTTTTGATATCTTCCTTGATATCTTCATTGTTCAGGAGTTGTTGTTTGATTACCACCTATTTGTGAATTTTACAATTTTCTTCCTGTTACTGATTTCTATTTTCATACCATTATGAACAGAAAAGATACTTGGTATGATTTCAATCTTCTTATACTTACTAAGGCCTTTTTTTGTGACCTAACATATTATCTATCCTTGAGAATGTTCCATGTGCACTTGAGAAAAATGTGTATTCTACTGCTGTTGGGGGGAGTGTTCTCTATAGGTCTGTTAGGTTCATTTGGTCTAAGGTATATTTCTACTCCAATGTTTATTGATTTTCTGTCTGGATAACCTATGCATTATTAAAAGTAGGATACTAAAGTCCCCTACTATTATTTTATTGTTGTCAATTTCTCCCTATAGATATATTAGGATTTGCTTAATATATTTAGGTGCTTCAAATTTGGGTGAATATATAATTCAATTATGATATCATCTTGATAAATAGACCTCTTTATCGTTATATAATGATCTTCCTTGTCTCTTGTTACAGTCTTTGGCTTAAAGGTTACTTTGCCTAATTTAAGTATAGCTACTCCTCTCTCTTTTGTTTTCCATTCACATGGAATAACTTTTTCCATACCTTCACTTTGATCCTATGTGTGTTCTTAAAGTTGAAGTAAGTCTCTTTTAGGCAGCAATTTGTTGGGTCTTGTTTACTTTATTTTTTAGTTACATTTGACATACAATATTATATTGGTTTCAGGTGTACAATATAGTGATTAAATACTTACATAGCTTTTGAAGTGATCGCAATGATAAATCTAGTATGTTGGGCCCTGCTTTTAATCCAGTCAACCACTCTGTGCCTTTAGATTGAAGACTTTAATCCATTTGTATTTAAAGTAATTATTGATAGGTAAGGATTTACCAATCCTACCTTAATAATCTGACTGTTTTGTAATTCACTTGTTTTTTCCCTCCTCTCATGCTGTCTTTCTTCTTGTCAAGTGATAATTTTCTGTAGTGGTATATTTTGATTCCCTTCACTTTGTTTTATGTAACTACTGTAAGTTTTTGCTTTGTGGCTACCATGAGGCTTTCATAAACAAAAATATAGATATAAGAGTCTACTTAGCCCTGGCCAGTTTTGCTCAGTGGTTAGAGCATCGGCTCATGGACCAATGAGTCATAGGTTCAATTCCGGCCAAGGGCACATACTTCGGTTGGGGTTCACCCCTGGCCCTAGTCGGGTCATGCAGGAGGCAACCAGTCGATGTGGCTCTATCACATCGATGTTTCTCTCTGTCTCTCTTTCTCTCCCTCCTACTCTATCTGATGATAAACAGAAAAGTATCCTCGGGTGAGGAATAAAAAAAAATCTACTTAAATCTGACAACAATTTATCTTTGATCACATAAAAAACATCCAACATTTTATACCTCCCTCCATATTTTATGTTATTGATGTCATAATTTACCTCTTTTTACATTATGTATCTACTAACAAATTACTGTAGTTAAAGTTATCTTTAATACTTCTGACCTTTATATTATGGTTACATGATTAACACATGCCATATTACAGTATTAGAGTATGCTAAATTTGACTACATGCTTACCTTTAACAGTAGGTTTTATATTTTCATATATATTTGTATTATTTATTAGTGGCTTTTATTTCAGCTTGTAGAACTCCTTTCTGTATTTCTTGTAAGGCAGGTCTAGTGTTGATGAACTTCTTCAGCTTTTCTTTGTTTGCTAAAGTCTTTATCTCTCCATATTTGAAAGATGATTTGCTGGGTAAAGTATTCTTGGTTGGCAGTTTTCTTCCTGCACTCTGCCTGTATCATCCAACTCTCTCCTGGTCTGCAAGGTGTCTGCTGAGAAATAGTCTGATGCTTTATATGTGTGGGTTTTTTTTCTCTTGCTGCCTTTAAAATTATCTCTGTCTTTGATTTTAGACTCTTTCATTATAATGTGTGTTGGAGATCATTTGGGGTGAAATTTTTAGGTGACTTGTTAGCTTCATAAAGCTCTCCCTAGATTTGAGAAATGTTCAGCCATTATTTCTTTTAATAATCTTTCTCCCATTCTTCTCCTTCTGGGACTTCTGAGACTCCAACAATAAATAGATTGTTTCTTTTAATGAATCCCATAATTCACATAAACTATTTTCAGCATTTTTCATGATTTTTTTTCTTTTTTCTCCTCTGACTGGATTATTTCAAATGACCTACCTTCTAATTCACTAATTCTTTTGTTTGTTTCAGTTTGATGTTGAAATTCTCTACTGAATTCTTCAGTTCACTTATTGTTTGTTTTTTAAATGATTTCTATTTTTTTGTTCTTTCTTCTCATTCCATTTATGCATT